CTCCAAGGACGACGCCTCCCAGAGCCGGTGAGTGGAGCCGAGCGGGGGGAGAGGAGGCATCGTGACACCCCTCTATAAATCCACGGGGCGCCCACGCCCTGAACGCGGCGCCCGGGTCTGGTCCCCGCACCTCCAAACGGACACGGGAGAACGGGACACGGTGCAAACGGGCAGCGAGGGCGATTCGCGATGCGGAGCCTGACCCTCCCGGTGCATTCCCGCAGGTCCAAGCAGGAGGCCGCGGCGGAGCCGGACGGGGCCCCGCTGAAGAACAGCTTCAACAACCCGGCCTACTACGTGCTGGAGGGGGTCCCGCACCAGCTGCTGGCCGCAGAGCCCCCCGCCGCCTCGCCGGCCACCTCCAAGCCACCGACCCCCAAGAACAAGGTGCAGATCATGGTGCCCATGCAGCCCGAGCGGCGCAGGCCCCCCACAACTGGCCAGACGCCCCCGGGCCGGGGGGACGAGACCTCCTCGGACGAAGAGCCCGCGCCCCTCAACCTGCCGCCCCCCGACTTCCCGCCCCCGCCGCTGCCCAAATCGGTGGAGCTGGAGATGAGCGACAACCCCTTCTACGCCAGCACCAAGGAGGCGGGCCGGCGAGACGACGCCGAGGTCAAGGCCAAGGCCCGAGCTGCTGTGGCCTTCAGCGAGCCCCTGGAGACCAAGCCACCCCCACCCAAGGTGCACCCGCGTGCCCATGCCCCCCCCGAGCACGGCTTCCTGCTGGAGGGCTCCGGCGCGGCGCCGGCGCCGGCGGGGCTCCTGGACGACCGCTCCTGCTCCGTGCTGCAGATGGCCAAGACCCTGAGCGAGGTGGATTACCTAGGCAGCAAAGGGGGCGGTGGGAGCCGGGAGACGGGAAACCGCCCCGCGCCGGCCCCGCTGGGCAAAGGGCGGCTGGAGCTGCCCCCCCGATGCCTGCTCCCCGACTACAGCCGGTCGCCCAGCTTCCCACCCCGCTCCATCCGGGAGAGCATCGAGGAGGACCTGGCGGAGGAGGTAGGGCTGGGGATGCCTCGTGGGAGAGCTGTGGGGTGGGGCTGGGAAGGGGTTTGCCCCCCTGCTCATGCTGGCAAGGACCTCGTAGCGGGAGGCACGGGCTGGAGTCTAGACTCAGAGGCCCGCGGCTGCAGGGACCTGGGGAGGTCTAGTCCAAGCCCTGCCTGGGGCAGGATCAGCCCTGTCCAAAGCAGCCCGGAGAAACCCGGTGTCCAGCATCTTTGCAAAACTACAGTCACCCCTGGTGCACACCTCAACCCGCCGCAGGGAAGGCAGCGGGGGCATGGCTGCCAACATCCGGCTGCTGCAAAGGTTGTTAATCGATGCAGAGGCCGTGCCCCCGCTGCAGAGGAAAGCAAACCCCCCCAGTCTGTACTGATCTGACCGGGGGGAAATCCCTTCCTGACCCCAAATGCAGCATTGGTCTGACCCTGAGCGCAGGGGCAAGTCCCTCCAGCCAGGACCTTGCAGGGTTGATGCCAGCAGGAGCACTGGCACAGCCTGGTCCCATCCCCAGCCTGGGCTGGAAGTAGTAACCGGCCCCCCGGAGGAGTCCAACCCCTCATCCAGCTGCCAGTGCGCGTTTCAATCCCGGCTGTACCGCCTGGAGCCAGTCACTGCCCTGCCTGTGCCTCAGCTTCCCCAGCTGCACAATGGGGATACAGACCCCGCATGGCCCCTGAGGCCCCCTCCCTGGGGTGAGAGGGGTTGCAGTCAGCGCCGGGATGGGGATGAGGGGCCAGGGGGTGGGCAGACACACCAAGAGCTGCCCACTGCCCCCGTCTTGTCTGTCCCGTGCAGGCCGTGTGCCAGGGGGGCCGGAGCAGCACCAGCCTGGACGAGCCCAGCGTGGGCGCCTGGCTGCGGGCCCTCGGGCTGGAGCGGTACGAGGAGGGGCTCATTCACAACGGCTGGGACGACCTCGAGTTCCTCAGGTGAGTGCTGAGGGCGGGGGTCCCGCACGGCCTGCCCCTGCTCCAGGGCTCTGGCAGGGGGTGCTGCTTTCACATCCATGAGCCCCGGGGCTGGGAGGGGGCAACAGCAGTGGGGCAGAAAGCGGTGGCGGGCCAGGGGCAGCGTTGGCTCTCCTGTGGCCTCAGCAGGTCCCCGTTGCTGGGGGCATCCAGAGCCTCCTCGTGGCAGCTCGGGCACGTTCGCCTGTGGCGGGCACGAGGCCTCTGTGCACTACCAGGGGCTGCTGGTTCCTGGTCTGCCCCCGGGGAGGGTGCAGGTGATGCAGCCCCCATCGCCTGGAGCTGCGGAGGGTGGTTTTGGGGTGGGGGAAAAGGCGGCAAGGATTAATCCGTGGTTCTCCCGCTCCCCCTTGCAGCGACATCACGGAGGAGGACCTGGAGGAGGCCGGGGTGATGGATCCCAACCACAAGCGCCTCCTGCTGGACAACCTGAGGCTCAGGAAATAGCGGGACCCCACGTGGCCCCGGACACGCCGCCCTCCCCAGTCCGGCGGGGGGGGTCCCCGCAGCCATCCCTGCCCAGCGGGGAGGACACGGGGCGATGGCCGGGAGCGCTGGGTCTGTGCCCCGCGCCGCAGCTCTGCGCTGAGTATTCCCTGTGCCTTCCAGGAGGACTCGAGCTGGAGACCCCCAAACCCGGGGGGACGTGGGGGGTCAGCGTGGTCCAGGCCGCTCCATTTCCATGCAGCCTCCTGCTGTTTTAAATTATTGCTTATTTATTGTCGGAGGGGGTGGGCGTTTGTGTCCAGGCCGTGCCTTGAGGTGGGGTTCAGCCCAGCCAGCGTGGCTTGGGACCCCGCCAAACCCTGGAGGGGCCTCAGCACTGGGGCATGGGGGTTGGAGGGGACAGGGTAGAGAGCAGGGATGGAGGCTGCATTAGCTGGAGGATATCCTGAGACTGAAGGGGGCAAGTGGGGGGGTCTCCAGGGCTGCAGCCCCAGCAGCCGGAAGGGGCTTCAGCCCCTGCACCCCCAGCCTCACTGCCCCCAGTGCCCCACAGCCTCCTGGCCCCCTACAGCCCTGTTGCCCCCTCTGTTCAGCTGTTCAGGGGGGCACAGGGACAAACTGGGTGTCCGGCAAGGGCTGGGCCACGCACCCGGTGCTTCCCGGTGCAGCAGCTCCCGCACTGGGGACAAACCGGAGGGCGCCGGGATGGGAGCGGTTGCAGACAGGGACCCAACCCCACCACAAACACTTCCCTGGACCCTGAGCCACTCACCTGCCACCCCCTGCCTCAGTTTCCCCACCTCCGAAGTGGGGGCAGACAAGGCTTGCCAGCACAGCGGAGGTGCCCGGAGCTGTACAATGGAGACGGCGCGCCTTGCAGTCCCCGGTGACAGGGAACCCCGGGGTGGGGCGAGCCCACGAGCTGAAATGAAGGAGGCACCCGGGCTCCAGCGCGGGGTGGACCCAGCGCCCGCGTGACAATCTCCCCTGCTGCCTCTCGGGTAGTTAGTGAGACGTGTGGTGTGACCTTAACCCCACTAACCCGCCGCCACAGCCTCTCTGGTGGCTTTTTTAAAATCCCGAGCTATTTTTTTAATGTGTAATTTAAGCCGAAGGTTATTTCTCCGGGAGGAGGTGACCGTCAGGGCCCTCCCCCCGAAGCGGCAGGTTCTGCAGCCTTTGAGCTGGGTCCTCAGCACTACCCAGATGATCACCTGCTCATGCAATAAAAGGGCTCATTTGCTTAGACCCCATTGCCTGGTCCAGATGCTTTCTCCGCCTTTGGGGGCCAGGGCTGTGGAGGGGAGGGCAGGGGATGGGGCTGGCTGGATTAACATTGCGCCCCGGGGCCAGAGGAGGCTGGGGGGCAGCGGGGAGACAGCCTGGACCCGGACCCGACTACACATGCAGGCCGTGCTGTCCTGTGATTAGGGCCCATAAAGGACCAGTACACCCAGTTTCAGCTCCACGAGCCTGGCGGTAGCTGCAGACTGCAGGAATCCCCCCTATTGTGTCCCGGGCCACGTGCCTGCGGTCTCCCCGCTTCCTGTCCCAAAATGCTTGTGGCAGGGGTGATGTGTCCACGCTGAAACAGGCCCCACCTTGGTGCTCATATGCCCTTTATTGCGTCTGCTCCCCACCACGAGGCAGGCCCAGATAGTCTTCCTGTGCCAATGGGGAAACTGAGGCACAGCACGGGGCCCAAGCCCACGGAGGGCAGCTGTGCCGCAGAACCGGGCCAGCCATCCAGACACCGTCTCCCGCACGCCCTCGGTCGCCCATGCCGCTCTGCAGTCGTGGCTACCTGGCTGTGCTGGAGATGCTATCCGACTGTGGGCGAAGGGTCGCCAGCACAGAACGACGCCCCTGGTGATCTCCCGGGACCGTCTGGAGCTCCCTGCGCAGCGCAGGGTCCCCATCGCACTGTGCACCGCTCCCGCAGCACCCAACAGGCCCTGCCCCACTGCACGGGATGGGCTGAGCCAACACTGTTAGCTGGGGGGGGAACCGAGGCAGTTGTTAAGTGAGGCGCCTAAGGCCACAGAGGGAGTCCGTGGCAGAGGCGGGAGCTGAATGCAGACAGCTGGGGTTCCCATTCCTCTGCCAAGCAGCCAGATTTCATACGGCTCTCATAGGGCTGGAAGGGACCTCACAAGACGGCCTTTGGGCAGGGGGCTAGACCCGACCGTTTGGAAGACAGAAACTCCCCTCGCTATGGGCTGCAGGGATGGACCCCGCCGCCCCCAGCAAAAGCATCCTGGACCCCAGCATCTCCCCCTCCCTGCAGTCCCAGCCCTGCCCCGGTGGAGGCCCCCCGGCCGGCTCGTCAATAAATTAAGTTTTATTGGGATTAGCATCGTTGGCCAACGGGCTCAATAAATTACAGAACAGGCTAAAAAAACCAACCAAAAACAGACGTGGCGGAGAGTCTGGAGCGAGGCTCCCGTCGCGGCCGGGGCCAGCGGGCGCCGTCACCCCGGCCCCGGCCCGGCCCCGACCCCGGCCCC